ATTTATTTAAAATATAATAAATAAAATTATTATTTAATAATTTTGAAAATAAAATAATATTCTTTTAGTTATTTATTTAATTGTTGAATATTTAATAGACTTAAATAGGTTAACAGGTCTAAGCCAAGACTTTTATTTTTTGAATATAGGTCAGACCAGACTTGTAATTTGGAGCCTACACAGGCTAATAGGTCAGGCCATACGTAATGTTTTTTAACATAAACTTGACCTATTTAAGTCAAAATCTAGCCTAGTCCATTCTATTTACACCTCTAGACACCACTAAGTGTATGGTGGTGAGCTACATTTCGAATGAGAAATCCTCAATTACGAGGTCTATAATTCTCACTTTAAGGGTCAGCCCATGAATTTGAATTGTAAGGCCGATTTAAAACAAAAACTAAAAATGAAATTATTTAAAAGAAAGATGTAAAATGGAGCAAGATAGAAGGTCGAGGTTAGTCTATTTAACCTACTTGTTTTGGTAAGTTGCATTAAGAATTTCAATCCGTCAACCCTAACTCACCCTCTAACAAAGCATATTAAAGTCGATCAACCTTCGAGTTGGGATAAGTCAACATGCATGTCTTTTTTGTGTGTCAAGTAATATTTTATTTAGGGTGCAATTTTTTTGCAACGACTGAATAATTTTATTAGGTGCAGCAAAGGGTCTCACTTGCTTCATTTAAAAAAAATAAAAAAATTCCTAACATTCAGAACCGTATCGTAGTATTGCTGCAAAAGCTTTTTTTTACAGTGACAGGAGTAGAGGTGGTAAAGTGGGCTGGGCGGAGCGGGGCATCAAACCGTCAAAAAATAAGCCAGTTTGCCTGTCCCGCCCCGCTTTTGAAAGTGGGCTAAAAAACTCAGCTCGCCCCGCCCCATTTAGCGGGTTGGCCCACCAGCCCGAACCTATTTTACACTGACCCGCCTCGGCCCGTCATCAACCCGCCAAAAAATGAGTCCGCCCCGCTTTTGAGATGGGTTAAAAAACTCAGCCAGCCTCGCCCTGTTTAGCGGGTTGGGCGGGTTGGCCCGCCGAGCTGAGCTCGTTTTGCCGGCTCTAGACAGGAGAGCTATAAAACCTTTTTATTTATCATGTCAAGTTTTGTGATATTCAAATTTTTTTATCTCATTATCCCTCTACCAAAGATAAAAAAGGAACGAAAAAAGTTGGTTCAAGTGATACACGTTTGATTTTGTTTAAGCAAAGTTTTGGGTTCAAGTCCTTGTTAATGCAAAAAATTCTCTTTGGAAGAATTAGCCATATCATGACGTGAATGTGAATGTTCTCGACTCAACAATATTATCTTCTGTAGAGGATATATGTATTTTATCCAAAAAATATATATTTAATTTATGACAAAAATTATTCATATATATAGACAAAAATAAATTCTTAGATATAAAAAAAGAATAGGATATAAAATAAAAATAAATAATACAACAAATTAAACTCATAAAATACTATTTTTTATTTTTTATTTTTGAACTGATTGAATATATCCCCCACATCATAAAATTAGATGAGTTGATATTTTCAATCATCTGTTTAAAACTGACCAACCCAACCAACAGTCGGCGACGAGCTGACATGTTTTACCAACTTAATAAAACGAGAAAAATTAACCCTAAATCTAGATCCTCCCAAACGGGGCATGGAGTAAAATTCCCCAAGCTTAAAATTTCTATTGTTAGTTCCCCACTTCACTTGAAAATTAGAGCATATCACTAGAGGACAATTGTAATTTCCGCTTTACAAATTAACATGTCCCTCTTAATAAATTTTTTACTAACAAGCATAAATCACATTATGTAGACATATAAATAAGAGATTATATATTTAAAAATATATTAATTATAATTTTATGCATGATTAATTTTAGTATAATCTTAAATATATATTAAAAGATAAAATATTTAAAATTACAAAATTTTATACAAATTATTAACTTAAAAAGTATAATTTAAAAATTACATGGCTTGTTTTTTAAAAAAGCAGACTAAAATAATAAGGATTTATATTATCTCCTATTGCTTAATAACAAGATATGGTCTTGTTGGAAAGTGAAAGATGTGATTTTTTTTAATATAACTAATGAACTCTATAACCAATCAGGTAAGTTATTACATGATAAAATTTGTGTCTTTTTCTCTCTAACAAGATAATCAAATCCAAAGGTTAACTACTCTTAAAATAGTGTATTTTAATTAGATTGTTTTGAACTAATTTTTGATTTATCAAATACATAATAATTCTAAAAATCCAATTATTTCAAATACGTATTTGTTCTATTTTTTGTTTTTAATCGCTACAGATATTAAATGTGAATTTATATTTAGATATGAATTATGATAGTAACTTGAGATTACATGGCTCAGTTATTAATTTGCTTATTAATATTAAAAAAAAATCACTTTTTGTGGATGATGATTTTTTTTATATAATATTACTAAATTAATTACGTCATAAGATTGAAAAATACCAGTTAAGTCAGCTAATAAGATTGTTTTAATTGATTGTAATTTTTTTTTTTTGGCTGATTGTGATTTTAATTAAGAAAACGTGTTTCTGTTAACAGATTCTTATACGAGACTTGTCTTCCTCCCTCCACCCTTATTCCTTTTATCTTATTTAAAAATTCCCTTCCCTCCTCGTCTCAATCCTTACCAACTAAACAAAGTACAGGAATTACAAGTCTACGCATTCTTTCGTGAATTACAACTCCGCACCTTTTTTCGTGCATAACTACGAAATAGCCATCAGTTTATTCTTTTATTTTATTTTTATTTTTTTTTCATGAACGAGAAATACTGTTGGAGCTTATTGGTTGCCTAACTTATATTTATAATTTTATATTTCTATAAATGACCTTATAAATATTCTTATTATTTGTTACTGTTCATTTGGGCATAACTCTTGGGCGTTAACTTTAAAAAAATATAAACAACATTATTAACTAAATTAGTTTTTTATTAAATTAATCAGTAAATTTTCAGAAAAACCAGTATCAAGCGCAGATTTTGAAGCAATTTATTTATCAGACAAATATTCATGCATGGAGATAAGTTATCTGCGGTTATTCCTAAAATAATATTATTTTATGATTGAAATATTAAAAAATTATAATTATAAAGACTATAATAACTCTGAAATAAATTAAAATTATAAAAATACTATATTTTTGGCCCAAAATAACAGCATATAGGACTTACTATAAATAATTTATCTGCAATAATAATAACTGCTTAAAAAATGAACCATTTGTTTATTAGTGTTAACATGAACAACTAGAAATGAATTTTGAAGGTTTACCACACAAAAAAAAAATGAATTTTCAAGAATTTTTTTTTATTCAACGCAATCAGAACTAAAATGAACGATAAAACAATTGCATTGAAAAAATGTATTGAAATAAATGAAATCAGTAAAATAATCCTCATGAACGTACAGTTCAAATTTTAATTTTATATACACATCATTTTATTTTATTTTTTATAATGGTAAGAGATTTATAGGCTGCACCTATAATTCTTATTCTTTTTGGACATGTTCAAATTTCTTTTTACATGAGGTAAAATATTTTAGCATGATCTCTCCATGTATTCGCACTTGGGGAAAGTTAAGTTTTTTTTTCATCTTAGCTAACATCTTTAATTTTAATTTGATAATTCATCTTATAGGAGAACATGCAAAAATGCTACTTACATCTACGCGAATTAAGCCTATTTTATCTTTTTACTTGACTTTGTTATATCATCCACCTCTCAAAAGTCACTCATGTATGATTCAGCAACAATAACTATAATTACTTGATCTCTATCTTTCTCTATTTTTCTTATTTTTAAACCTTTATATGCAAAACATAGTTGTTGTCCATTACTCAGCAGGTTTGTTACACTTACCTACCAATGACCTTCTCGATCTGGTTGACATCCATCAAAATATAGACTCTTTAGACGTACGTGCGTCATATATGTGAAGATAATTTGTCACGGATGTAAAATTGAAACAAAGATGAGGTGAATGTAATATAATACAACAATAATATAATATGGTAGCCATTTTCTTTCGTGTGCTAACTATTAAATATAAAGTGGAAAGTAGCTTAGGCCTTAGGATACAAATAGCCAACTTGTCAGAATAAAATAGTCTTCCTCAATTTTGAATAAATATTTGGTATTACTATTGTACTTAGATTCAGTGCATCTCATCAATGAAATCATTACACATCAGACGAGAAAAAAAAATTGACAGAAAAAAAAATTAGCTAATATGTAATATTTTTATTAGTGGGATGGACTGAATCTTTAGTACAACAATAGTACCAAAGATTTATTCCTCAATTTTGTAGATTCATGTACTGTCCTTCAGCTGCAAAAATACAAATAATATTTGTTGATGCTCCACACGTCTCTTCTTGCCACCCCTTGCCTCTATTCTCTTTTTGGTACACGGAAGGTATCCATTAAAGTTAAATTGGCAAGTAAATAAATTTTTTCCCCTCTTGATGATGTAAGAGGCATAGTTGTAATGTTAACACTTAACAGTGTGAGCAATGGGGATTTATTATTACATAAATAATTTTTTTCTAATTGCCAGTAATTTGATGAATCATAAAATTATCCCTTTGATGTAAAGAGATAAGTGATAAAAAAACTTTAAATTAAAATTATAAATAATTCAAAATTTTGAAAAAAAAGATAAGTCATTATGAAGAAATTCACAAGATATATATATATTTTTTAAAGTTTTTCCTAAAATTAAATACCTACCATATTCTCGAATTCCCAAACACAGTAACTTTCAGAAGTCGATTGTTCAGAATGGCATGTACGTAAATAAAAGCCACTGGAGCCTCCTTTGTTAACAGTGGAGTCTTTAAATTTTAAGCTCACTTCATTTGGAAGTAAAATAAGAAAAGAAAAGCAAAACAAGGAAGGAACAGAGGAAGAGGCACGACAACATTCCTCAACCGAGAAAGAAAGAAGCAAAGAAAATGGCCTACTCATCTTCCTTAGTTTTTCTCATGATTTGCGCCTCCACCGTATTGGTGGCAATGAGTTGGTCGCCGACCGCCGTCTCCGGAGGAGACCACCACCTTGGAATGGGATGGATAACCACGAAGCCACCTTGCAAGGGGTCCATCGCGGAATGCCTGGAAGGGGAGGAGGAGGAGTATGAGTTGGACTCAGAGATCAACCGGCGCATCTTAGCCACCAGCCAGTACATAAGCTACGGTGCGCTGCAGAGGAACACGGTTCCGTGCTCTCGCCGCGGCGCCTCCTACTACAATTGCCGACGTGGGGCCCAGGCCAACCCTTACAGCCGTGGCTGCAGTGCCATTACTAGGTGCAGGGGCTAAAAAATTTTCATCTTTTTTTACTTTTATTTATGTTTGGTGATTTCAAATGGGGTTTGAATGTTGTTATATAAATTTGTCATACAATAAGAATGATGATAATCGATATGCGGAAATTGATGGAATATAATGCGCCTTATTAGTATTTGTTATTTTGATTTGAACGTTTATGCATAATGAAGAAGAATAAGAAGAAGAAAAAGTCACTCCTTTATAAATTTTACACTTTAATTTTTTCACCTTCACCTTTCTGTCAAGGTCTGTGCTATTCAGACCCTGAATCTCAGTCAAGAGGATGGGTATCACTGACCCATAAATGGTGTCGTTCAATCAGTCATATGGGTTTGTTTTCTTTGTCTTTTGTCCATTTCTTTGCGAGAAAATTTTGTTTGTAACTTTATTCCTGAGACAAGTTTGCATTTTCCTCTTTTCCTCTCCCAACCCAGGAATAAGGAAGGTTGGGAGATTGATACTTTCCTCGTTACTCTTTTGTTAAAGCTTTAAATGCCTTTGCCTTCCTTGCTAGCCTAAAGCATGAATAAAGTGTTGTTGGGTATGAACTTTGAATTTTACGAGGATCTGAGATTTTATTGGACTGAGGAAACTTTAACTCCCAAATTTAAGAGTCATGAATTGAAGGTGGGAATGTAATAGTGTAGTGAGAGAAAAAAAAACACAAAGAGAGGATACATTCTAGAGTACACAAATGAATAGACGGAAATGTAGTTTGATTTTCAGAAAATCAATTTTCAACAGCTTAGAAATCGGATTTGAGGGTGATTTTTTGAGAAAATTCGGGTAAAGTACTGTTAACACACTTTTTGTCATATATTTCCCTGGTAAAATTTTGTCAAACCAAATTATTTTTTTTAACTTTCTCATTTATTCAACTTTCCCTATGGATACCTAGTAATTACATTTCTCTAGTATTCTTAAAATTTATCTTCAACCAAACGCCCCCTATAAAGAAAAAAGGTTTGCTCTTCAACGTAGATAAATTATCTACGTTGAGCTCAAAACGATATCGTTTTGAGACGAAAATTAATGTATTTTTGTATTTATAATTTATTTTAGGGTTATAATAATATTTTTTATTATAATTTTTTAATTTTTCAATCCAAAACGACATTATTTTGAGAGTGAATATAAATAATTTATCTATATTTATTTCAGAAACATTAAACCAAAAAAAAATAGATATATCTTTTTTTTAAGTATGTTATCTTCTTCTTCTTTTCTATGTGTAACAAGAGGAGAATATAAATAAAGAATTTGAGGTCCTCTGAATAAGGAGATAATTTTATTTTATATATATAAAAATATGTGAAGTTGATATTTTTTTTTTCTTTTTGTTCCATATTATTTCATGTGAGCTTCACATATTATATATATATATATATATATATATATGTAATAATAATAATAATTTTATCTTTTATAACATGAAAAACATGAAACTCATAAATTAATTAATAAAAAAGTAAAAGTTGCCGGCATTGAACAGCTCTTTCTTTATAATTAGAGTTGTTGATTTCCTACCTTTTCTATTATTTAGCGGTTGGGGTTGTTACTTGTTAACGACGGGTTCAATCACATTCCAAACTCTTAACACAAACCAAATTTTAAAGATAGGAGTGGCCCCTTAATAAACCATGGGTTTATTTATACATTAAGGCCCCGCAAATGATTTCGGTATCGTTTTCAAAAATGTCAAGCAGGTAATAAGGATTGGATTGACTGTTTTTTTTTTTTTGGAAAATCGTCGACAGGTGAAATTCTATCGGTCATGGAGATGGGGGACCAAACTAAACCTTAGTTTAATTGGTAAGTGTACTGCAGCTGGAGGGTCAGGTTTTGATGGCTAATGAAATCATGGGTTCAATTCCTACCAGAAGTATTTTAGAGCCGGTGGTGAAAACATTAGCGGACCCACGTCATTGCATATGACTGCAAGTGCACCCACTAATTTTTGAAATTTTTTTTTATCTTACTTACTAACTCTTGTTTATTCTTCTAACTTACAAAGTTTGTTTTGTCAACGGGTATATGTTGACATAATATTTAATAGTACATAATTTTATGGAAATGGATTGTTCGTTTTAGGATTTTATAGAAATTATTGACTACTCTCAAGGATTGACAACATAATTATTGTAGGAGTCACTTCAGAATTTTCAATTCTGCTTAGTGCATCTATGGATATTTTAATCATGATTGTTTGTTGATTCTCTAATTTATTTATATTTGATTGTAATCGTTTTATTATAATAACTTAGTTGACTCTTGATTTTTATTATTTTTATATTAAATTGAAGTTTTCTTCTTTCTTTTTTCTTATTTATATTCTTTTGTTTTTTAATGCATTTAAAATTTTCTTTAAAATTTTTTTTGAAGACTCTGTATCCGAACTACTACTAAATGTGCAGACATAAACAAAATTTTCTGAGTCCGTCATTGGGTGAAAACCTTCTCGCTCCAAGTCACGAAGGGATTAGTCTCATCATACAGGGTGAGGACACCCTGAGTTTACTCAAAAAAAAAAAAAAAAAAAACCCTGAAATTGTTAATGGGCAGGCTAAAAAAAAAGCCTTACTGAATCATTAGCCTTTAGTCATCATATGTTCGTATTACATTGACACATTTTGGTTTAGTTGTGTAATTCACTTTATGGGTTTCGCATGTTTGATAGGTTAAAAAGCCCAACAACCTTCGTTCTTTGAGGGAATCAAATCGACGCTGTTTACTCAAAAACACAGGCGCCAAATTCTAATTTCCAGTGTCTATATTGTCGAATGCCCAGAATTCCTTTACTCGTCGTCTCTGAAAATGAGTTCAAAGGAACATATGATCTGGTAGGCAAAGCTACACTTCGCGGTTATTGTCACAACATTTTTCATATCAATTCATGGATTAATAATAGTAGCTCTAAAAATATCGAATAAAGCCAACAAAAATAACGACCATATTCCTAAAGCATCCGTCTCCTTTTTGTGGTCTACACCCTTCAGAAAAAGACCATTAAGAGGATGCAGATTTTCCTGAAATTAACACTTTCCCAGCTAAAACAATTGTGTATTGGAAATGACATTCCGTAAATGATGTATTTGAAAAATTATAAGTAGCATTTGAAAATATATTGTATGCTATGTCGGTTACAATTGTTTTGTGTATATTCAATAATCGATATAACCATTCACATATTAATGTATTAATTTATGAATTGACACGATAATGCATAGGTATTAAATAATATAATAATAATTATTATAATTAGGGTTTTGATATTTTTAAAAATAAATGTAATTGTGTTGAAATGCTGCCGTGAATGATTATTGCAATGATTTTCAAATTTATCATTTTTGAATTGGACGTTTATACTTTCAATAAAAGAGTTGTCTTTTGTTTATCAAAAAAGAAAAAGAAAAAAAAGAGTTGTCTTTTGGTGTAATGCCCCAATTTTGTACCCAAAAAAACAGAGTTTTTTTTTTTGTTGTTGATATATTTTAATCTGTTTATCACTTAGCGACTAATCTGATTCGAGGCGGATCTCAGGATTAAAACTTTAAACTCCTCCCAAAGACAATACTGGATAGGATCGAACATATGCTCTCATCCCCTCCCTATTCAGTTTCATAATGTCAATTGCGCATACATCATTTGGTAAAATAGTCATTTTTGAACAAATATATTTATTCACCATGATTGAAAAAAAAAATTTATTGCTTTTAATGTTGATAAATTTTTATAATCTTAAATTGAGGAAGGTTATAATTACTACATCTTTTTCTTACTATCTCTTATTATCAAATCTTAAACGTTGATTTCCGTCGATCTAACAGTTGTAATTTATTGGGTCATATTATTTAATTAATTATTAATTTTCAATAAATTATAACCGTTAGATTGACGGAAATCAACTGTTAAGATTTAGTAGTAAGAGGTAGTAAGAAAGAAGGTAGTAACTATAACCTCTCACCTCTCCCAAATTGAGGAAGATTATACTTATTACCTCTTTCCTCTCCCTTTTAAATTAGGGAAAAGTATTTCTCCAGTCACCGGAGATAAAGTATGTTCAGTGAACTTAAAACGACGTCGTTTTGAATTATAAAATTAAAAAATTATAATGATAAAGACTAATATAACCCTGTAATATATTATAATTACAAAATATCTTGATTTCCGCCTCAAACTGACGTCGTTTTTGACTCACCAGAGATAACTTATCTCCATTGACTGGAGAAATCCTTTACCCTTTAAATTATTCTAAATTTCCATGTAGAACTTTAATAATTTTAAGGTGAAGACTTTTAAAAAGTGAAGCTTGAATTTTACAACTTTTTAAAAATTGCGAAACACTTTTACGAATAGAATGTAAATTTGACAATTTTTCAAAGCATTTAAAATGGTCGTTTTTCTTTGAATATATATATATATATATATATGGGGAGAGATCATTTGACTCTATAGTAAGACTTAGAACTCTTACTCCTCATCTCAATCATTGGCTCGAAAAAATAAACGAGCCAGAAAACCTAACCCAGCCCAACCCGAGCCGGGTTAGGGTTGGCTCACGGGTTGGCTCGATAATCAGCTCGCGGGTTGGCTCGGAAAAAAGCTCGAGGGTTGGCTCTAGGAGAAGGAAGAAGATTCTGAAGAAGAGAAAAAATTCTAAGTGTTGAGCGCTAAAACGTTCATCCATAACGTTTTAGCGCGCTGCTACAGAAAGAAGCCAAAAGATGCTGGTCTGGAGCACTAAAACGTCCATCCAGAACGTGTTAGCGCCCTGATGCTGGAAAAGGATTCTGGTCTACAGCGTTAAAACGCTCAAACCAAACGTTTTATTTTTTTTAATTTAAAAAAAATACCCAACCCGCGAGCTGGCCCGTTTAACCCGAGGGCTGGCTCGTTTGGGTTAGGGTTGTATCGGGTCAGGTTGTATCGGGTTGGCAGCTCATTTAGGCCAACCAACCCGACTCATTTAGGACGGGTTGCGAGCCAACCCG